AAAACAGGGATAAAATCAGATCTAGTTCACCAGGTTGATAAAAGGACTAAGTGAGAAGAGAACCAAGTGAGATATGGTTTATAAAATCTCCTTGAGGTATACAGAGCCGTTTAAATATTAACAGTATTAGGTAACCTGGATAAGCTGTCTCTTCTACTTGTTTTAACCCAATGTATATACAAAAATTAGTGTTTAATAAGAATTTTCATTGAAGCATATCATGAAGTGGTATTTTTATTTTCATACCCGCAGTTTATCAAAATTCTTAATTTGTTGCTACACTATGTCTTGCTAAAAAAGAAATGAACAATGTAAATACAACTTCATAATTTAAAAACAAGTGTTGAAAACATATGAGAATAATTAAGAATATCTACTGGAAACACAAAACCTATATGCCTTTAATTCTCTGTGTTTCCAGTTTTATAGTCAGTACTTTGGGTGCTTTTCATGGTTCGGAAGACAGACACATTTGGGGTAGGGAAAGATTTACTGTCCATTAAGAAAGACAGATCCACAATAAAATAGGATCAGGCCTGGTTAGTCCCCACTATACATGGTGATCCCTATTGCCCGATAAAACTAAAGTTGTTTGAACATTAAAACCAATTTCTGTTCAATTTGGATGTAAAAATAATTATATTTTTGAACTGAAAGTTTTTTGGCATAATTATTTAGTTTAGCCTTTATTTCAGAACTTGAAATGTTAACTTCTACAAAATGCGTTGAGGGGGAGCAGGGAGAAAATAGCCTATGCTTTTTCATCCATTCTTTAACATCAGACCTAAATACAAGAAGACCTACCTGTTTTCCTCAAGGTAAAATGGGACATACCCAGGTTGACCCACACACTCAGTTTCCAAAAAAATGGTCATGGGAGTGCCTTATACTATGACCAAATTATAGCTGGGTATTGTTAATTTTCACTTTGAAAATAAGAACCTTAGTTACAAACATTTGTCTATGGTCCACGGCCAAGACTGGACCACAAAATTATTAGACTCGCAGGTTTCTCTGACCTTGCTTTAGTAGGAAAGAGCATTATTCTCAAGAGGTGACAGTAGCATCTCAGGCCTGATAATCCAGAGCAAGTAATGTGGGACATTTTCACACAGCAGGAGAAGAAAAGGAAATCATAATTCCCACATCACATATTGATGTGAGAAACAGGAAAGTCTGTTAACCAGGGACACAGAGAATGAGCCTCCAGTATCCCTGACAAAGTTCCAACTTTGTAGGGATACTAAGCCACACAACCACATGAGTGGTTTTTTCCAACAGGATTCAGCAGCTCACGTACAGGGTTCAGAGAAGACAAACACCCGCATTGATCCAAGAACTGGGTGTTTAATGTGACACTAACAAAAAGACAAGGGCACTAGGAACTTATAGGCTGATAAAAGCAGTGGTGATTTTGGCAGTAAATCCTTGTTTTCTTGTTTTGCAAACACGCTTGAAGACCAAAATCAACATTTTAAAGCATCTCCAAGACAGTCTAGCGCATTAACACTCTAGCTGATTCCAAAACGTAGAGAACCAGGGGTTTGGTTTTTTTGATCACAATGCAGACTGTACTGCCGAACTGAAATTCTGGGACTCTGAACAAGCCTCCTGATATTGTGAGTTTTATGCAGATCCACAGCACTACATGTCAGGACTCACACCTGAGAGTGATATTTATAACCTTTATAAACAAAAGAGAAAATCAGAGCATTGTGGTATTTCTAAATAAGTAGTTCTTCATGTTGCAAAAGTGTGACATGCTTACCTAGACCTCTGAGTAAAGTGGCAGACTAGGAAAGGAGTAAAATTTTAGGACTTTTGGGAAATAGGGGTAAAAGGGGACTTAGGTTATTTAAAAGACAATCAGGCTTGAAGAAAAGAGACAAAATATAAGAAACAATTTGAATTTTGACAGAGAAAGATCTAACAAACGTAATAAACATTAGGCAGAAAAATCTATGGAAATCGAGTTTTATCTAACCTATTCAATCACCCTATGGGGCTACGACTTATCCTCTTTATAGCTCGAGGATTTACTGCAGTTTTTAATGTGTTATATGGGCTGAATATTATATTTGTAATAATTGTTATACCTTATTGAAATTATACACTATGTACATTATTGAAATTATAGTACAACATATCGCGATGTAAATATAAGAAAGAGAGAGAAAAAATGAATATATACCTGATTTAGGTGAAGGAGGTAGTTTTGTTTACTTTTCTTCCTTTGACTATGAGATGTTTCTCTATTTTCATTTCCTGATCTGACTTCATATGTCACTTATCTTACTATTTAAGAAACCAAAGTAAGTTTTCTGATTTCCTTAGATAACAGTCTGAATTGAAGCAACATAAAACCACCTGATAACTAGCTACATTTATTTAGAAAACGTTTTCTCTCTTGTTTACAAAAGCATTTCCATTTCTAGAAAGAGACAGCAAACTTCATTGGTGCAGAAAGATAAAGTAAAACAGAACTTGAAGCAAGGCAAAGAGAATACTAACATCAACTATGATATTTCTGTCACCTATTATAGGAATGAACTGACAGCAATTAAACCGTAAAGAGCAAACTCCCAACAATATGTGTGGTAAATTTCCAGGACATAAAAGTAGTTAATTCAAGCACATGAGTCAAGAGTAGCATCACGATTAAGAACCGTGGCCTTGGTGCCATTCCGCCAGGGTTTGAATCCTGTCCCTATTACTTACAAGCAGGGTGACATTAAAAAAATTACGGTTTTCCTCATCTATAGAGCAGGGACAGTATTAATACCTGCCTAATAGGGTTATTTTGAGGACTAAATAAGATAATCCATATAAGGCCTTCAAAAACATGATTACATAAAAAGCATTCAAAAAGCTTATGCCATTAATAACATTACTATTATCTACGGCAAGGAAAATGTCATTGCCATGGATCAAGAAGTAAATCAAGAGCCACAGATGCACAACCGCAAAGTGAAAATAGGCCTCCTTACTGGGATAAACTGACATGGTTAAAGGGTCCTCTCTCCTCTCATCGTAACGATACATTTCCGCGTATTGACTAAAAATAACAATCTTGCACAAATATTTAATAAATTCTGATTTAGTTAAGTTGGGTTTCAAAATAACAATATATCTCTTTGAGAGGAATAACTGACTGTCAAAAAATAGCATATGGAAAAAAAATAGCATATGGGTGGCAAGAAAAAACTCTTTTATGTGTTTCCCATAAACAAATAAAATGAAACAAATATATCATAAAGCCTGAGTCGTTATGGTCATAAATGGATATTATATATGTTTTCTAAAGGATAAATCCTGAAATACAAAAAATTTCTAATAAAAGTACCTATTTCTAGGCTTTGCAATTCATCTTTTCAAACATATATTCCTAAGGACAGGACAAATCTCTCTTAAAAAGTGCAACAGAATCTAGTGTGGTGCATTATACTCATAAAGCCTTCAATAAATGTTTGTGATGCATTTTTGAAGTCAGACAAAATCAGGTTCAAAGTTCAGCTTCCACTCATATAGCTGGGTGACACTAAATAAATCGCCCAATCTCTTTGAATCTTAACCGCCTTATTTGCACCATGGGCACAAAAATACCTACCTAAACCACAGAGTTTTGTGAAAATCAAATAAAGAAGCAGTATGCAAAATGTCTATACAGGGTGCCTGGCACACAGTGCTCAAGTCATCTGCAAACAGATTGCTTTAGTTTTTCCTGTCCAATATGGATACATTCTATTATTCTTCTCTTCTTAATTGCCTGGCTAGAACCTCCAGTACAATGTTGATTAGAAGTAGCAACAGCATCAAAAAGAATAAACTACTTAAAGATAAATTTATCCAAGGATGTGCAAGACTTGAACACTGATACTAAAAAAACAGTGTGAAAAGAAATTTTTAAAGATCTAGATAAATGGAAGGATACCCTGCATTCGTGGATTGGAAGGATTAATATTAAGATGGCAATACTTCCCAAATTGACTGACAGACCCAAAGCAAACCCTATCAAAATTCCATCTGCCTTTTTGGCAGATGAGCTGACCCTAGAATTCATACGGAAATGCAAGGGATCCAAACAGTGAAAGCAATATTATAAAAAAAAAAGTTGGAGGACTCACACTTCTTCATTTCAAACTCACTACAAAGCTACAGTTAGTCAAGATAGTATAGTACAGGTATAAGGACTGACGTACGAATCAGTGGAGTAAAATTAAGAGTTGACCAGTAAATCAAAACATCTATGGTCAAATCATTTTCAACAAGAGAGACAAGATCATTTAATTGGGGAAGAAGAGTCTTTTCAACAAATGGTGCTTAGACAACTAGATATCTACATGCAAGAGAATGAATCTGGACAACAACCTCACACCATAAGCAAAAATTAACTCAAAAAGGATCAATGTCTTAAATGTAAGATATAAACTATAAACTCTTTGAAGGAAATAATTGGATAATAATTCCAATTATCCAATTGAGATATAGGATATTGGATAATTCTCCCCCAAAATACCACTTATACTTTGATTCTTATTTCCATACTCAATAATGCCACAAATGTGTTAGTGAGTTGGCATTTTTTCGAAATCTTTAATTCTCCAGATTCTACTACATACCTCTTCTAACTGGAACAATGACTACCGTCTACTCTCTGTATTAACTATCTTTAAATTGTGCTTTTTTGAAAAAACAGTGTTTACAAGTTTACATATATATACATATCGATATGCATGGATATAGAGATAGATGAATAGACAATGAAGTGATAAATAAGCACATGTGAGAAATAAGAAACATTTTGCTAATATGAAACAGCTTGATCTTTCACAGACTCCTTCAGAAATAGTGACTCATTGGTCAAAATTATGACTTTGTGTATTACGTAACTGGCTCAATAGAGAGTATTTACTGTAAATGCAGTTATTTACTTATTTATTTTTATATCTTAACCCTCTTCATTTATATTCTAAACTGCCATTCCACCAGTGAGAACTTACCCTAAGCATGGGGCCATTTTGAAACACATGTGGCTCGTCACAAACCACACAGTATTCATTCAACACAGGGATCCGCTGTTCAGCAAACTCAATTGTCTGAATAAGACAATAAAGAGAAAGAACGAAGTCAAGTTCATGAAGGATTTGAAAACCCACTAAAGGCTAAACTATTTCTACAACGGATGGAGGCTTGGCTCATACCTGCACTAGGAAGCCACGGTCTCGTATTGGAATACATTTGGCACCATTTGGCTATAAAGAGCAAAGGAGAAGAAAATAATGTTTTAATTAGGAAAATATATAAATTACAGCCTTTTACTTTTGCAACAGTGAATACAGATGTGATCTAAGATCACCTGTAATGTGAATTAAATCACTGATTATGACATCGAGATTTTAGAATTTAGTATAATGCCCTTTCCTCCGTTACGATTGCAATCTTTGTTTAAACTAAATGAGCAGCATTCTTAATTTCTGATCTTCTAATAAAAATGAGTGGCATCTTTAAATGATCACAAAAACTCGTTGCCTCTATTACTCATCACTGATTGCTCCCACTTCCTCATTTAGATTATTTCAATCTCATTTTACAATCAGATAGAATTATTTCTCCAAGGACGTACCAGACAGCTGCTGTAAGGGGTACAATACTGAACTACTGTATTAGGCTTAACCATACAGGAGGACATTAAGACATATTCTTTTACAGAATATCCGAAATTATCTTTCTTAGGTGAAACTAACCATGGGAAACTTTCTACTATGTAACTCTGACATAATTACTTTTCTATATGTCTTTAATACTTAGTTTTGAGAAGAAATGGGCTTTGGGGATATCCACCTAAAATTACCAACATACTCATATACATTTTCTTAACACAAATAAAATTTCATGGTATAATTTACAATGTAATTTTAGAAATAAATCTATACAAGAGCACCACAACTTTCTGAAAATGTATCTTATTTTTTTTCAGTTTCATCTATTGCTTGGTATATCTGTATTAATAGTTAAAGAGTTAAATACGTTCCTCCCTAACACACACAAACACAAATTTACTAAAAGCAAACAAAACTTTTTGTCAATTCTTTTATGTAATTAATATACATAAGATAGGTCTGTTTCTTTATCTGAAACTGGCTATAATGCTGATTACTCTAGAGGTAAACTTTGTGTAAGACTGACTCCCAATAAATACCACCCAAAGTACTTAAGCTTTAATACAGTCACCTCCCAGGCCCATCTCCCCATGCAAAACAGCTTCAGGACAAAGTGACTTCAGTTTCATAAAGTAGACACTGAGAGCAGCTTTAAGTGAGGCTCCGGGATACAGCTGTAACTGTTACTTCTCTCCACAAGTTCATGGGCAAAGTTGTCCTCTTATATACAATAGGAAGGACACCACTCTTAATTATTGGAAATAAATAAATAAAATAAAACATCAAAAATTTTTATTCTAAAAAAAAAAAAATATCAGACAAACTCTGAGCTCCACTACTTTTGTGAGAAAACCAGAGATTAGATAAACCTACTTAATAAAACATTAAAAATGCTATGCTTGCTTAAAAGGACAGGCTTTGTGAATCCAATGGACTTCCTTCCATTTTTAGTAGCATTCATTCCCGTGACAGGACTCTGGACTAGACCTCACATTGACAGCCACATTTATTTTTTCAGAATCAAAACCAACATTCCAGTACCAGTTGCAAATGTCTGGTATGCAAAATAACATCCAAAAGAAAAAAATTGTAAATTTTAAAAAACAAAAACAAAACTGTGCTTCTTTCCTTTCACAGATCTTACAAAACAAACAAACTAACAAAACCCTCTACTGCCCCTTAGCTGACATTTAAGAACTCAAGATGAAAATATGTACGCACAGCAGGCTGGGAAGATGAAGATGATGATGGTGTTAAGATACCAATGAGCCCTGAGGTAAGAGAGAGCCTCCGGCCCTCTGCGCTGGGTTCCTTGAAAAGCTCCGTTTTGGATGACTTGGGGGCACTGGAGTAAGACTTGCTGAGCAACTTGTGATTCTTGAGTCCATATAATTCTTCCATTCTGAGGTTACTGGAATAAGACCTGCTTAGCAGTTTGTGAGGCTTCAGGCTGGCGTTGTGCTCACAGCGCGGGTCTCCAGAACAAGAGCGAGTCAAGAGTTTGTGCGACTTGAGAGCGAGGCAGTCCTCCTGCTTGACGGCTGCAGGGCAGGGACGGTTCAAGAGCTTGTGTGACTTAATGGTCGTCACCGCCTGCTCAGCCCGGGGGTCGCTGGACAGCGAGCGACCGAAGGTCCTGTGTGGCTTCGGGGCGCACACGTCCTCCGTCTTGACTGTGCTGGAACAAGTCCTCCGCAGCAGCTTATGCGTCTTGGAGATCCCGTCTTGCTCCGATTTCAGTTTGGATTTGCTTTTTCCACAACCAGGGGGAGGATAACTTGGCGACCTTCAAAATGCAACAATTAACAGGGCAAATCGTGAGTGCAACAGACCATGGAGAACACTTGTCGGGCTCAATCAACTCAACTCTGTTACAAATACCATGTCTTTTTAATCCAGCTTATCCAGCCAAAATGGAAACCAAATATGTATGGAAAGATCACGGGGACTGAAGTCTATGTTTCCTGGAAAGCAAAAAGCGTTTGTCCAGTTTGTTTTTCCCTCCTACCTATCCCAGAGCCCTGTGAAGGACTAACTTTGGTAGGGAAAACTCTATGTGATTAGAAACCAAACAATGTAACTTTAGTAAATTTAACCCATGTAAAGGAAACACAAACTCAAAACATAGAAATGAGTATCCGTGTTTTTTGACGGAATGGATGTAACTTGGTCTGTTCTTTAAAGTCATAAAGAAAATAAACAGATGCCAACACTGTAGCAAGAATGCTTTGAATTAAATAAGCATGGAATATCACAGGTGCAGCGTTTAGTAAGACGATGGAAAGACGTCTGTTACCCACCTGCGCAAGGTAGAAAATAGATGCAGGGGAGACTTCACTTTCTTCTCTGACAGCTTCTTATTGTGCAGGCAACTAGATTTTTCTTTGCTCTGTTTCCACTGCTGTGTAACAAATGTCTGCATGATTCTGTCAAACCAAAGGTAAGTTTGTTATCACAGTTCCAAGGTAATTTAATATCAGATTTCTATATGGATTATGTAGAGAATGCATTTATCAAAGGAAAATAAATGCATGGTAATTAGGCGGAGTTTAATTTTGAACCATACAAGATGTCTTCTTGTGTAGGAAAGCATCCTATAGAAAATTTCTATGATTTTACTGTGTTACGATTAATAATTAATTAATTACTGTGACATAATTAAAAATACAAACGATTAAGAAGTTGATAAAAGAATAAGGATATAAGGAGATTTATAAGGACGGCCTTTAGGATCAACACCTTTAGCTGAGGTGGCAAGAGAAAAGTCTGAATTATTTTGTTGGTGCTAGCAACACAGGTTTTAAAAAATGTTTTGTTAGTAATTATGATCTATTAAGATAAAGTAAAGTTCTTTTCCTTCTCCTTGATTTGCTTATGTATTTTTCTTCATGAGAAGGAAAACAAAATGAAAGTACAAAATCGTAAACAAAAATAAGCCATGCAAAATTGACTCTATGGAGAATTAGGAGGTCAGCAAGTTTTACGTTCAGCACAGCCGCCATTCACTTTAAAATGTGCTGGTTTTTTAAAAGATGGTGCGCCTCTAAGAACTTTTAGTTCCTATCCTAAGGCAGGAATTTGGTAACTTCTGATCTCAATATTTTCTAAGTCAAGACCATGGCATCACTGTTTTGTGATAAAGAATTCTAGAACGTCAAAGGTGGATTTAAGAAAGACACAGCCTTGTTTTCTGAGAAGGGTCTCAGGCTGTGACAGCTTCTCTGGATCCCGTCCCTCCAGTGACAATGGAGGAGAGTCCCTTAAGGCTGATACTTAAGTAGAGGCAAAATTTTACAATTAAACATTGTGCGCAGTAAATTAAACACTTTGATTTTCTTTCCCAAGTCAATTCAGCAGGTCCTGCTTTCCTGCTCTTTTCAGTTGTTTCTAACACAGATTGCTTTTGTACCAGGAAGATGGTACCAATATCTACTATTTACAATACAGCAGGGTGTGAAAGAGGAACTTTATATACAGATTTTTTTTCTCCTTCCACACATTTCACAAGTATGGTGAGGAAATGAAATCTGTCCAAGTTAGCCTGTAAGCAGAGCTGTAACACCTATGTTATCCAACACGGAGAGACCTATGTTAACGTATGTTATTCAAAAGGGGCAGCTGTGACTCTTAGCACTAGGCCAATTATTATTTTCTTGAGATCCTTCAGGTCTCACCACATTAACTCAGATTGCCAGAAACTACATCACTCAGACTAACTACCCCAAACTTTAGTGAGCTAGCTTAGTTGAATTCAGAGGAAATGTGCAATTATTTGTGGTCTTTTTAGCTGTAGAGGTAGTGAGGAAGAAGGGGGTAAAGCTGCAGTCAGTGATGCATGATTCCAAATTTGCAGTAAATTCTCCCTAGAGCTCAGGACGAGGCAAAGTTCTTATTTTCCACTTAATCTTTGAAGGTTTTTTTCTCCCAAGATTTCATCAAGATTTAAATGTAACAGTAATACTAAGGTCATCATTCTCCCTTGTACTTAACCTGAAATCTCCAGTGACACCACCCTTTGTACCAAGCAGATTCAGATTCTTTTCCTCCTATGAAAAATTGCCATTCCTGTGTACCACTCCCTAAGAAACCAAGCAAGTGCTTCTCTGATTCTTGACAGACTAACTGGAACAAAAAATAACAAGTAAAAGAGCTAAAATTGTTCCCACTTTCATATTACATTAGCGTTCTAAAGTGTGACTTCAACATCTAAAACTAGTAATTCTTAAACTTGCACACCCAAATCCCTACATGTTCTTGGATTCGAAAGGGAGGAGTTAACTACCTCCTATAAGAAATTCAATATAGTGTTTCATTTCAACTGTGATCTGAAATATACATATGAGCACGTTTGGTATAATGACCACCCCCTTATAATAGAGAGGCACCGAGAGATTTCAGTGCTCACACTGGTGTTTGAGTTTGTGCTGTCACTAAGAAGAACTACTATAATTGCCATTGGCTGATGATAAAAGAAGGGAAAAAGACTTCACGGTAAATTATACATTCACATCAACTGAAGACCGGATGAGGTCACAGCCAGCTATGTGAACAAAGCCAGCTATGTGAACAAAGCCAGCTATGTGAACAAAGGTAGTTCAGAAGAGAAAGGGAATACACGTGGGTCACATGATGATCCTCTACATGCTGAAATGGGCACTATAGTAGTCAGTACTGTGTTCAAACTGTGGTGGTGAAATAGCTTCAGCGAAATGACACCACCCATCAAATTAAATTAGTATATTAATTTGAAATTTGAATGTTTCATTTTGATTTGCACATCAGTTATAAATTGAATTTTGTGTTATAAATGTGAACTCAACATATGAAGAATTTACACCATTCTTTATGTTTGTATATACTTCAGGCAATGTTGGAGATTTGCAATGTATTTTTTTCCTTTTAAAAACAACTTAAGGGGCTTCCCCGGTGGCGCAGTGGTTGAGAGTCCGCCTGCCGATGCAGGGGACACGGGTTCGTGCCCCGGTCCGGGAAGATCCCACATGCCGCGGAGCTGCTGGGCCCGTGAGCCATGGCCGCTGAGCCTGCGCGTCCGGAGCCTGTGCTCCGCAACGGGAGAGGCCACAACAGTGAGAGGCCCGCGAATCGCAAAAAAACCAAAACCAAAAACAGAAAAAAGCAACTTAAGTTTGATCAACATCAATTCAACATAAAGTCACACACAGTTTAAGATTATTTCCATAGTCTGTGATATGCTTCGCCTTTGATTGACAGATACCCTATTCAAGGCTGATCACTTTATTACATCTGTTTGGGGTCAGTATTTTCTCTTTCAGGCTCTTTTAATGACGTCACATTTCCCCAATATCCATTCAATGATGAAAATATATTCCAAGCCTTATCAAGACAAAGGAGTATCTAGGATTATATGAAAGGCAGATTAGTGGATGGATCAAAAGTATTGATATGGAGTCAAATTCTGGCTGTACCACTTTCTCAGTGTGTGAGCTTAACCAAGTTGCTTAAGCTCCCGGGGCCTGGGCTTCATCATCTAGGAAACATGGAGAGTAACAGTACCTGCTTGATAGGGTTGTTGTGAAGATCAAGGGAGCTAATATATGTCACTATTCTAAGTGCCTGACATGTAAGCAGCACTGCATAAGCATTTGCTGTTGCTGTTGTTTAGACTCTTACTGCCAGGAACACACAAGATAAAGAATCACAGAAAAAGTTTAATGAGTGTTTCTTATTTCCTGAGCAAAAACAAAGGGCCTAGATTCTAAATCTGCCTTCCTAACTTGCTGTATGTTTCTGGAAAATAACCTCTTTATATTTCAATTTCCTCTTAAGACATTGTGAGGATGAGATCAGATTTTGAAATTTTATTATATATAATTTTAGACTAGAAGATCACAGACAAACCCAGTTGTTTATAATTAAGGAAAGAAACTAAATTAGTCTAAAATTTATCAAGGGTCATTAAATAAAGTTCTAGTTCATATACCAAACTTTTCATATAATTAAAATCTGTCCATAAAAGTAAATAACTTTTTAAAAATGTTAAACATTTGGGTGGAACTATTAATAAAATGTTACATATTCTACAAGGTGATTCAACAGTGAATACAGAGTATAGCTTTCCTTAATTTCTCAGGGTGGGGATTACACACATAATTTCTTTTTCTGAGCTCAATGTCATTAAGGGTAGGAAGCTATCTATTCCTAGACTTCTGTGCTTTTATAATTGTTGTCTCATTTGGACCAATGGCATTTCACCCCTCCCCCCAAGAAAAGTTCTTAAGTGGCTTACAAAAGTACATAAAGTAGAACTCCGGACTTTCAGTGATAATCATAGTCAATACAGATTCTTCAGTTGTAACCAATGCACCACTCCAGCAGGAGATGTTGACAATAGGGAAGCTATGGGCAGGGGCATATGCAAAATCTCAGTACCTTCCTCTCAATTTTGCTGTGAACCTAAAACCGCTCTTAAAAAAATGAGGGAGAAAATTGGATGAGGGAAAAAAATCATAGGGGGGAAAAAAAACATGTGCTAAGATGAGGTGGTAGCCAACTTGAATGGCTTAACATGGAAGGCAGGCTCCATGCTTAGTTCCAAGACCTGTAAGATACTGGCTTGAAAAACAAAATCCAATTGAAAAAACAAAGCCAATTGCACTGGAAAAGGATACCTAATCCGGTACAGGAAACTGAGAAAATTTCCCCTGTGATTTTTTTTCCCTCACCCAATTTTCTCCCTCATTTTAAAAATTATTTTTAATTTAATGACTTTATTTTTTTAGAGCGGTTTTAGGTGCACAGCAAAATTGAGAGGAAGGTACTGAGATTTCGCATATGCCCCTGCCCATAGCTTCCCTATTATCAACATCTCCTGCCGGAGTGCTGCATTTGTTATAACTGATGAATCTATATTGAGTCCTTAAAAAGAAAACACTGCATAATATAATGTGCTAAATATATGTTGCAAATTGAATTTAGTTTCAAAGATGTGGAATTCTGGGTTTATCTTCTAATTTTTATATGCCCACCTCCTCAGGTGGAAGGCAGGATGTTAGAGGGAGGAGAGTGAATCCAGGGTGGGGGGCAGATGGAAGGAATCTGGCTCAGTTCTAAAGTGAGCTCTGCCAACTAAATTATTGATGCAGCTCTTAGCATCAGGACGACTTCCGCTCCTGAGGCATGTACTTCAAAAAGCTTTGTTGAATAAAAATGGGGCGGGGAGTGGTGAGCAAAATGAGAACTCAGTTCTCTTTAATAGAAATTTGTTTTTTATTCATTGGAAAACTTACTTTTTCAGCTGATGTCCCAGTCCAAATCTCTCTTTTGTGGAAATCTGAAAGACATCAACAGTGGGCACTGCAAAGGAAAAAAAATCAGCCTAAATGTTGAGTTGAAACTCAACCATCAGCCAGGAAAAAGTCTGAAAAGTAATATATATATATATATATATATTACTATGTATATGTAATATACATGTATATACATACATACACATTTTAAAATAGTCTACACACAATCCTACACATGGCTATTTATGCTTTATAGAGAGATCTTGGAGATCATTCTAGGTTAGTATATATTATATATACTAATGTGTAATATACACATATGTAAATGCACAATATATATAATAATGAAGAATGATCTCCAAAAATACATATTAAGTGTAAATAGCCATGTGTAGGATAGTTTGCACACTATTCCTTAGGTGGAAGAGAGACATGTCTGTATACACACAGAGCTTTTTTAAAGAATAAAACAATGGAGGATGACAGTAGGCATAGGATACTCACTTTTCACTGCACACCCTCTTGTGTGCTTCATATTTTTATCAGATATATATATTTCTATAAGTTAATAACTATGCTGCTTATGAAATTGGTAACCTCCAAAAGAGTCACTCACCATTCATTATTCACTGGTTTAAAGGGTATTTATTGTTTTCTCACTGTGCCAGCCACTATAGATAGAGTAGCAAAAAACACACACCGATATCCCTGCTCTCATGAGCCTTAGTAAAGAGAAGGAGACAGACAAAAAATATATAAGAAAATAGATTAAATGTCACGTGGTGATAAAGGCTCTGGATAAAAATAAAGACAGAAAAGGGTGGGGGGGGGGGGCTGAAGGTTATGTGGGCATAAACAGACTTCAACATCAGATAATATGGCAGGAAGAAAAGGATCCCAGCCAGAGGAAACACACGGCAGTACCCCTGAGGAAGAAATGTGCTTCAGTATTCTAGGACCAGCAGGGAGAGCTGGAGAGGAGTGAACAAGGTATCTCTTTAGGAGATGAGATGAGAAAAGGACCACAGACAGTGTAGGTTCCCTGTAAAGAGCAGGGATAGAAATAGGAAAATCAGTCTGGAACTCATTACAGTAATTAAGGCAAGAGTAGAGTGGCTTGGATTAGCAGAGATGGTGAACATTTTGGATTCACACTCTCTGAGAGAGCTGACAGATTCTGCTGATGGACTGAATTTAAAGTGTCAGAAAAAGAAAGGAGTCAGGGATGAATCAAAGGATTTTTGGCCTGAGCAACCAGAAGGATGAAACGTACCAATTCCTGGTACGTGAAAGACTGCAAGAGGATCAGGTTTGGAGCAGCGGGGAAGACTGCCAACTTGACTCCGGCTATTGTAAATTTGAGAAGCTTATTTGTCACTCAAGTGGAAAAGTTAAGTAGGCAACTGGATAAAGAAATCCAGTGCTTACGCATTTCGGATGAGAGGAATGTGCTAAAGACATAAATGTGGGGGGAATTCCCTGGCGGTCCAGTGGTTAGGACTCCGAGCTCTCACTGCCGAGGATCCGGGTTCAACCCCTGGTAGGGGAACTAAGATCCCACCAGTCCCACGGCACAGACAAAAAAAAAAAAAAGACTTATATGTGGAAGAGCAAAAATACATATGTACTTAAAGGCACGAGGCTGGATGAGAAACGAGTGAGTGTAGATGGCGGAGAGAAGTCTAAGGATTCAGCCTGAGCCATTCAGTATGTAGAGGCTCAGCAAACAAGGCTGAAGAGGAATGGCTGGGAGGGTGGAAGATTCCAGAATTAATATGTTAATCTGGACATATATTCAAAAAAAATTTCCAAGGAGGGGGTAAACAACTGTTATCAAATGCTGCTAAGTTAATTAAGATGAGGATTCAAAATTGGTCATGGGGTCATTAAGCAATATTCTAGTCACTGGTGACATTGACAAGAGCAGCGTTTGTGAAATGATGCATCCAAAGCACATCTACAGCGTATTCAAGGAGAAAAAAAGAGGAAAGAAAATGAAGGAAGCTAGAGGGCAGACAGCAGAAGCAAGAAGAACTACAATCCTGCAGCCTGTGGAATGAAAATGACATTCACAGAAAGACAGACCAAATGAAAAGGCAGAGGACTATGTACCAGATGAAGGAAGAAGATAAAACCCCAGAAAAACAACTAATATATATGCTGTCTACAAGAGACCCACTTCAGACCTAGGAACACATACAGACTGAAAGTGAGGGGATGGAAAAAGATATTCCATGCAAATGGAAATCAAAAGAAAGCTGGAGTAGCAATACTCATATCAGATAAAAGAGACTTCAAAATAAAGAATGTTACAGGAGACAAGGAAGGACACTACATAATAATCAAGGGATCAATCCAAGAAAATACAGCAATTATAAATATATATGCACCCAATATAGGAGCACCTCAATACATAAGGCAAATGCAAAAAGCTATAAAAGAGGAAATCGACAGTAACACAATAATAGTGGGGGACTTTAACACCTCACTTACACCAATGGACAGATCATCCAGAAAGAAAATTAAGAAGAAAACACAAGCTTTAAATGACACAATAGAACAGATAGATTTAATTGATATTTATAGGACATTCCAGCCAAAACCAGCAGATTACACTTTCTTCTCAAGTGTGCAAGGAACATTCTCCAGGACAGATCACATCTTGGGTCACAAATCAAGCCTTGGTAAACTTCAGAAAACTGAAATCAGGGCTTCCCTGGTGGCGCAGTGGTTGAGAGTCCGCCTGCCGATGCAGGGGACGCAGGTTCGTGCCCCGGTCCAGGAAGATCCCACATGCAGCAGAGCGGCTGGGCCCGTGAGCCATGGCCGCTGAGCCTGCGCATCCGGAGCCTGTGCTCCGCAACGGGAGAGGCCACAACAGTGAGAGGCCCACATACAGCAAAAAAAAAAAAAAAAAGAAAACTGAAATCATATCAAGCATCTTTTCCGACCACAACGCTATGAGAAGAAATAAATTACAGGGAAAAAAACAAAAAAACCACAAACACATGAAGGCTAAACAATACGTTACTAACTAACCAAAACATCACTGAAGAAATCAAAGAGGAAATCAAAAAAAACCTAGAGAAAAATGACAACAAAACACGACAATCCAAAATCTATGGGATGCAGCAAAGCAGTTGTAAGAGGGAAGTTTAGAACAATATAAGCCTACCTCAAGAAACAACAACAAAAATCTCAAATAAACAATCTAACCTTACATCTCACCTAAAGGAACCAGAGAAAGAAGAAGAAACAAAACCCAAAGTTAGTAGAAGGAAAGAAATCATAAAGATCAGAGCAGAAATAAATGAAATAGAAACAAAGAAAATAATAGCAAAGATCAATAAAACTAAAAGCTGGTTCTTTGAGAAGATAACAAAATTGATAAACCTTTAGCCAGATTCATCGAGAAAAAGAGGGAGAGGACTCAAATCAATAAAATTTGAAATGAAAAAGAAGTTACAACAGACACCGGAGAAATACAAAGCTCATAAAAGACTACTACAAGAAACTCTATGCCAATAAAACGTACAACCTGGAAGAAACAGACAAATTCATCGGAAGGTATAACCTTCTAAGACTGAAGCACGAAGAAATAGAAAATATGAACAGACCAGTCACAAGTAATGAAATTGAAACTGTGATTAAAAATCTTCCAGCAAACAAAAGTCCAGGACCAGATGGCTTCACAGGTGAATTCTATCAAACATTTAGAGAAGAGCTAACACCCATCCTTCTCAAACTCTTCCAAAAATTGCAGAGGAAGGAAAACTCCCAAACTCGTTCTACGAGGCTACCATCACCCTGATACCAAAACCAGACAAAGATACTACAAAAAAAGGAAATTACAGACCAGTATCACTGATGAATATAGATGCAAAAATCCTCAACAAAATACTAGCAAACAGAATCCAACACACATTAAAAGGACCATACACCATGATCAAGTGGTATTTATCCCAGGGATGCAAGGATTCTTCAATATACACAAATCAATCAATGTGATACACTATACTAACAAATTGAAGAATAAAAACCATATGATCATCTCAATAGATGCAGTAAAAGCTTTTGACAAAATTCAACACCATTTATGATAAAAACTCTCCAGAAAGTGGGCACAGAGGGAACCTACCTCAACATAATAAAGGCCATATACGACAAACCCACAGCAAACATCATTCTCAATGGTGAAAGCATTTCCTCTAAGATCAGGAACAAGACAAGGTTGCCCACTCTTGCCACTATTATTCAACATAGTTTTGGAAGTCCTAGCCACGGCATTCAGAGAAGAATAATAAACAAAATGAATACAAATTGGAAAAGAAGAAGTAAAATTGTCCCTGTTTGCAGATGACATGACAGTACAGATAATCCTAAAGATGCTACCAGAAAACTGCTAGCGCTAATCAATGAATTTGGTAAAGTAGCAGGATACAAAATTAATGCACAGAAATCTCTTGCATTCCTATACACTAACAATGAAAGATCAGACAGAGAAATTAAGGAAACACTCCCATTCACCACTGCAACAAAAAGAGTAAAATACCTAGGAATAAACCTATCTAAGGAGGTAAAAGACCTCTACTCAGAAAACTATAAGATACTGATGAAAGAAATCAAAGATGACACAACCAGATGAAGAGGTATACCATGTTTTTGGGTTGGAAGAATCAATATTGTGAAAATGACTAAACTACCCAAAGCAATCTACAGATTCAGTGCTATCCCTATTAAATTACCAATGGCATTTTTTACAGAACTAGAAGAAAAATCTTAAAATTTGTATGGAGACACAAAGACCCCAAATAGCCAAAGCAATCCTGAGGGGAAAAAAAGGAGCTGGAGGAATCAGACTCCCTAACTTCAGACTATACTACAAAGCTACAGTAATCAAGACAATATGGTACTGGCACAAAAACAGAAATATAGATCAATGGAACAGGACAGAAAGCCTAGAGTTAAACCCATGCACCTATGGTCAACTAATCTATGACAAAGGAGGCAAGGATATGCAATGGAGAAAAGACAATCTCTTCAATAAGTGGTGCTGGGAAAACTGGA